TTGCTTTGAGTTTTAGGAACACTTTTCATTCATGGGATAGATAGTTATGGATGTCTGGTGGGGAGTTAGAACAGACTAGGCAAACATGGGTTTTGCTTTGGGGTGATAGAATTCTCGCCTTCCACGAGGGAACCCCCGGGTTGCATCCTCAGCCAAGGTGCTTCTTGCGCCGTCACCACCCGTCTGTCAGTGCCGGCTTGCCTGTTTCAGCGGAGCTTCCAGAGCCAGAGGCAAATTGCACCTGGCCTCCACATCAGTAGGAAGGCACATTTGCTACGACAGAAGGATGGGGCGTGTTGTATTTCACAGTATCTTCATCATCACACACTCTTCCCACTTTTCAGCCCAGTTATTGCTATGGAAATCAGATGCGTGCTGGGTCACCCGGGACCACTTTCGTCTCAGCTCCACTGGCATTGCTTGTCCACCTGGGGGCTTCCCCGCTTTCCCCAGTTCAGCCATCCGGACACATGTGCAAACCTAGAAGTGCAAATTGATACCTTTTGGGAAAACCTTGGCCAATAGAAGTCAGAAGCCAAGGCATAAATACTATCCGCTCTCGGAAGGGGTCACTCTGAGTTGGAACCAATTCAATAGCAGTGAGTTTGGTTTTTGAATCTTTCAGGAAGTGACTTGGAGGTCCAGTTTACATCGTTACTTTGAGAGTCCCACACGTGGTCAGCCAAATATCCACAGTAGTGATCAATTTGATGGGGTGCACTTGGATTGACTTTCCCTGATTCTTCCTTCCCCTCTTTCAATACCCCTCTTTTCCTCCTAGGAAGCACCCCTGAAATAAACGACTTGTATGCATGCCCATGTCCAAGGCTCTGCCTGGGGAGTAGTAACCAAGCTAAGGGGATGTTTTCCTTCTGGATATTTAGGCTGGTGGTAAGTGTACCATTTATACTTGTGCCTTGGATTCCTCATGTTGGAGAGTGGGCCATATTTCCTTTGGGATTTTTTATCCACGGGAACAGTATTGGGGTTAAGTGGGGTGAAATATATGCCATCAAAGGGGAGTGCAAGTTTTAGATAAGCCATGCCCCCAACTGTCTGGTGCTTGGTCGATAGGCCTCTTCAGCCTTTCAAGATACAATTTCCCCTTCGATCTCAGGAACAAAAGAACAAAATTATGTATTCCACAGAGTTTCCCACAGTCTGGATCATAGCTGATGGCAATGTGGTGGCTTGGTCTAATTCAGGCTCAATTATTTCCCCCAAGAATATTAATGGATTCCCTAGCTACCCATAGCTTCTTACACTCCCTGACCCTGATAAATTCGAAGATTCTAAGAGCACTCACAAGCAGGGTCACAAATCACTGACTCAGAGGTTGGTTAGAAAGGAAGGCTGCCGCCCAGTATGACCCTCCTGAGTCTCAGTCACTTTCACCTCCGTTGCTCATCAAATCCTCAGGCATCCCGAGAGAAGACAGGCACCTGGCCCTTTGCAGATGCCAAAGCAGAGGCCCAGATCTGCCCGCCCCTGAAGTCGCAGCAGCACAGTGTTGCACCTCCCTTGGTTGCCCTCGCTCTCTGCCGCAGGTTTGAAAGGCACAGCTTCCCTTTCTGTTTGCAAGAATGGGAAGACAAGGCGTTCTGCACCCTCCTTGGCGTGGGGCCCCAGTCCGAGTCCAGGAGTGTGACTTGCGAACACCTCCAGAAGGAAGGGATGTTGCCTAGGATTTGCCTGGCCAGCTCAGCATACGCGATTTCAGACGGTTCCCGTGCTCTTTACAGCATTCTAGAACCCAGCGCCCTCCCTGACTCAAGCACTTAGTGTTCTTCCTTCAGTGACTCAGGCATTGAGAACTATAAGAATCAAATGGGGGAAACAGTCACGAATAGCTAGGGTAGGATGGTGTCCCCACCCACTGTCATCAAGTCAATTAGCAACCCTATGGTTCTTTTTTATTTTTTTAATTTTTTATGTAGGTCCTCTCATCTTTTTTTTTTATAACATTTTATTAGGGGCTCATACAACTGTTATCGCAATC